TTTTACTTTAATAATTATAAGTTAGTAATAGGAATGAGTCTATTCTTTACTAACTATGGTTTTCACCCACGACTCGAAGAAGTTATAGACGAAAGTCTAAACCTAAGAACTAAGAGTATAGCATTAACTATAAAAGAACTATATAAATAACTTAAGTTAGATCTATGATTTCTCATAGAAAGAATGGTAAGCTACGTAAATAAGAAACGAATCGAGAGATCGCTTCTAGAGAAGAGGAACCCCGTCTATCTTTTACGAAAAAACATTAAAACGAAGAGACTAAGCGCGAAGCTAAACTACATAAAACTCGAACTATTTAGAATTAAAGATAAACTTAGAGACGTTATATATCGACTAAAACTACTAAAGAATATAAAGATTCATAACGTATTTTATAAAGCACTTCTTAAACTAGCACCGCGGAACGCTAAAATCATCTAAATACTTTCGCTAGATAAGGAGATAGTACCCGAGAAATATAATGTTAAGAAAGTCCTTAGAAAACGCGTTAGGCGCGGCTAGCCTTAATATCTAATTAAATAGTTAGGATACGACGAGTGCGAAAATAGCTAGGAACCGGAGACCAACCTTTCGAAGAAACTTCTAGGGAAAATAAGAAAGGATTATTCTAAGTAGTTTTTAACGCTAGTAAAGCATTTAGCTATTCATCGTCGAAGATAAACTCATGAGCTATCGGTAGCTCAGGTTCATCCGGCGTATACCCCTTCTCCCGATTAAGGGCATTTAACACCTAGGATTACCGAATCACTATATCACTCTAAGCGCGAGTATACCCTTCTATTTATCGCTAATAGCCAGCCAGCCGACGCTCTAGCTTAGCTAACTCGGCTATAAACTTAGTAGCCTCAGTACGTACTTAGGCCATGCGGTTATAGCCTCCGGGCCCGCTTCGCCATTCCCTTACGAGCCTCACGGTAACGACTCTCTAATTTCTTCTTCTTCTTTTCTAGAGACTAAAACTCCTCCTCGGAATATTAATCATCACACTTTATATTTTTCTAAGTACACTCACTATAGCGAGAATTACCTTTTAGGAGAAAGTAGACGGAGGACGACCTAGTATAATTCGAATAAGGAGCTATAGTTAAGAGACCTAGGCGTTTTATCTTTTTAGTAAGAAGGCGGCGCTCGAGGGAACGTTAGCGGGAAACCTTGCGAATACCTAAAGAAGAAAGAAGGGAAGACATTCTTAAACTTAGATAAATTTAAGCCGGGCAGTGTCCCGCTTTTATATCATCGCTAAGACGAACTCTTAGGATAAGAGTCTAATCGGAGAGAGGATAGTGTTAGATACAGCCTTACGGAAGATCGACTACGAGTCGCACGGGCCCGACTCACCACGCTTATTAGACACCTGGAAGGATCCACGAAGGAATAAGGCTGGGTCATATAATATACCCTATTGGCTCTATTAGCCCTGCCGGCTCTATTAACAGAGCGCATAGAGCGCATAGAGCGCACAGAGCGTAAGCATTATATATATACCCTCACTACCCTAGATAGTTACACTCTCTTCGTAGCCAACTTATATTATCTACTGGACTATATAGTTCTTAGTAATAGAGAACCCTGCTTATACCTTGTGTCTTCCTTAACTAGCTCATGCTATCCTAGGATTGTTGCTAAGAACCCTAACCTAGTTAGGATCAGTAGGGATCCTTAACAAATAAGTAGTTCGCTTTATTATATATTTTTTACGGTAATCTCTTCGAGTACTACGTCGTCCGTATCGTTCTCTAAGTTAATGATTTTTATGGCGCATCGTATAGAGACCTCGACTTAGATTTAGAAATAGAAATTAGTCTTCGTTAAATTACGATAACGATGGACTACCCTAATGCTAAGCCTTAGTAGACCTATCTAAATACGGACGGAGCGCCTAGGCGTAAGCACTAAGGCCTTTTTTATCTCCCGGACGTTAAAAGGGGCGCTCTATCGAATTTGCGAATAGATTCCCCTCGACACCTCGTTTCGATCGCCATTAAAGGTTATAAGGAAATTTAGATAGTAGCGTAAGTGGAGGGATTCTACTAGGTTCCCGGACATTCGTCTGCCTCGATGTTTCGCTGGTATCGTGAACCAGTGACGTACTATACTATAGTACAATATGTGTACTTATCGGATGTAACGGTTCGCAAATATTAGGATTGAGTAAGACGTATTACCACGTAGACGAACGGATCGAAAGTTACCAGGCAGTAGGCTTGGCTGAAATAAGTGGAAGGTTTATAGCTGGGTAACTGTAGCCGAGGCCCAAAGGGGACCCCTGAGCCCGAACTGACTTCTGAGAATTGGTATCAGGGCAGCGCTCCTTGTGGCTCGCCCAGTGCTCCGGCGCTTCCCCCCGTACTTTGCCGTGGCTCGCCCGTGCTCGGCCTAGCCTCATCGATGCTCCGTCACGTGCCAGATTAAAGCGGCCTCGCTCCCTTTCCTAAACGAAAGTGGTAATAGATAAAGCATAGTTCGGGGTATAGATAATATATATATGTATATATGCAATCCCCCTAGCGGAATGTTGAGTGAATATTGTCTGAAGACGGAGACGTGCTCAGATAGGAGGTACATGCTTGCTTGGCCGAGGAGGAAAGAGAAAAAGTTCTGGGGAAATAAAATCACATGTGCGCACTCACTCACTCACTCCACACAAGAAATAAGAACAAAGAAGACAAAACCGCAAGAGGAGGGCCCAGTTGCGGAGCATTGTAGATACACAGAAGTAATAGATTTGGGCCTTTTTTTTTTTTCCTGATTTACTCAATTGGACACGCACACACACACAAAAAAAGCCGGTGATCGACCCAACCATAAATACTCTCACACTGTGAGAAGTTTCATCCACAAACTACCTACAACTTCGACTGGCCTCCACTGACGCGCTTCAGGGCCAAGGGATCCTTCGCCTCGAGGCCATACTGCCTAAAGAGTTCTTGGGTCTTCTTCTTCTGTGCCTCGATGCGCTTCAGCAGCGCGGGACCACGCTTATTCTCGTTGCGGCCCAGCTGCAGGATGTGCACCTCATCTGGTCCGTCGACGATGCGCATCGTGCGCCCGCTGGCCCACATGTTCGCGAGGGGTGTGTCCTGGGACACGCCGGCGCCGCCGTACGCCTGGATGGCGCGGTCGAGCACGTCGAGAAGCACGTTGGGCACCTGCACTTTCACCTCGGCGATCTCCTTGAGGGCGTCCTTGGCGTTGGACTGGTCGATCTTGATGGCCGCGTTGAGCACCGCGAGGCGCGCGGCGTCGATTTCGATTCGTGAGCGCGCCACCCGCTCCAGCATGATGCCGTGCTCCGCGAGCAGTTTGCCGAACGGCTTCTTGGCCGGGTCGTTCATGCGTGCCAGGAAGTACTCCAGGGCTCTTTCGGCCTGTAGATAGAAAAGCAAAGTTTTGATTAGAACATGTACCAAAGTCACCATTTTGGGGGGCGTGGCGGAATTCCAACTTACAGCACCGACGGATCTCATGGCGTGGTGAATTCTGCCGGGTCCGAGACGGCCCTGGACGACCTCGAAGCCTCGTCCCTCGCCCAAGATCATGTTGCTCTTGTGCACGCGGACATTGTTGAAGGTGATATGGCCATGTCCGTGAGGAGCATCGTCAAAGCCAATCACCGATAGCATGCGCTCCACGGTGAGGCCGGGAGTATCAGCGGGCACGAGAATGACGGATTGTTGTCTGTAGGGGTTTGGGTTGTTGGGGTCGGATTTGCCCATGACGATGTAGATCTTGCATCGGCGGTCGCCGGCACCGCTGGACCACCATTTCTTTTCACCACGTTGTTAGACACGAGGTATATAGAATGGCAATGATGATAAGACAAACCTGGCCGTTGAGCACGTAGTAGTCCCCATCCTTCCTCATGTTCAACTCGATGTTTGTCGCATCACTGCTCGCCACTTGCGGCTCTGTCATCAAAAACGCCGACCGGATCTCTCCGTTCAACAACGGCACAAGCCATTTCTGCTTCTGCTCCTCGGTCCCGTACTTGGCGAATACTTCCATGTTGCCCGTGTCGGGAGCCGCACAGTTGGTAGCTTCGCTCGCGGTGCTGGACTTGCCCAGGTACTCGGCCATCAAGCCGTATTCCAGGTTGGAAAATCCGGCACCTTCCTTAAAGTGGTTCTTGGGCAGGAACATGTTCCATAGACCCAGTTTGCGAGCTTTGGCCTTGAGGTCTTCAATGATCTGGGGATGGGCGTCGAAGCGGGAGACCGGGTCATTGCCGTGTTGGTTGATCTGTTGGGCGAAGACGGCGTCGGCAGGAATGCATTCTTCCTCGACGAATCTCTCAACCTAGAAGGCGCCGAATCATTGGTATTGGCTCTTTTCTTTTTCTTTGATGTTCATTTACTTCGGCCATGGTGGAAGATATTGGCCTGGAGCTGGCTCCAAGGCACGGTACAGAGCGGCAGCAATGAAAGCGGTATGGGAGAGATGGTTAAGGCCTTTATCATTCATTCTGACTTACCAGGTCCAGTGTCTTCTTTGCTCGCTCGCTCACGAAAGGTCTGGCGATAACTGGGATTCTCTCCGAGGCAGGAATGTGCCCGCCGGCGCTGTTGATGAGATAGGGGACAGACATCTTGAAGCAACTGTGTAGCTGGAGAAGAAGCAGGGGAAGTGGTGAGAGGGTTCCCTGATCGAAGCAGCAAGGTCGGGATTATAGCAATTTGAAAGATGGTGATGAGGAACGAGATGGAATGGATTTAGTGATCAACAACAAAGATCAGAACTTAGCCCGCTTGCTGGTGGTGACGGGTACCGTTCGCGCAATCCGAGAACCGAGGCAGTGGAGACCAGATTCGGAAAGCCACTCACCCTTGCTCACCACGGAGATGTTTCCTGTACTTCCACCCCCAGCTTTATCAGACCACGGGGCAAGACGGCCTAAATCCAATGGCGGGCTGCCTGGGGATTTCATCTCGGCTGACTGCTGCTTCAGGCTTTTGTCCTAGCGACATGCCGCAGCCTCTATCATGGCTCTACCCAGCCTGAGGGCAGCAGCATGCCACATCTCACCCCACATTCTGTCTGCTGCTCGCACAACACAGAAGACGGTCAATTGCATTAAGACAGCTGCCAGATACTCGGCAAATCTAGTGGTGCTGCCGGAGTCGTCAATCCCTGCTTTCCCAGTATGGTCTTCGCTGCTGCCGCCCACCCACGCCCATCACTTTTTCCGACAGATGGTGCAGGAGTCGGTCTATGTCGATGGCGAAGAGATCTCTGCCATCCGTCAAGCAGCACGCGACAACCGCGTTGTAGTCAGTCTGGGAATATCTGAGAGGGTGCGATACAGCTCCGGCACTCTTTTCAACACCAATATAATCATTGGCAATGATGGCGAGATCCTGGTGCATCACCGAAAACTGATGCCTACGTTCTTTGAGAAGTTGACTTGGGCTCCTGGGGACGGCTATGGCCTATGCGTTGCACAAACCCAATACGGCAAGATTGGGGCGCTGATCTGTGGTGAGAATACCAATCCGCTGGCCCGATATACTCTTATGGCACAGGGAGAGCAAGTCCATATTTCCACCTGGCCCGCCATCTGGCCTACTAGGGCCCTCGTCAGTGACTCTGACAATGAGGTCAACCCTGTGAGCTCTAGCAGTCGCAACTATGACAATCTTGCTGCAAATCACACGCGAGCAGCGGCTCATTGCTTTGAAGCCAAATGCTTCGGAATTATGAGTGCGGGACATCTCGACGATGCCGCCATGGCTGACATTGCTGCAATGACTGAGATGCCAGAGGACATACAAAAGAAGCTAGCAAGCTACCCACGAGCAGCAAGTCAGTTTCTCGATCCAACCGGCAAGACCGTTCATAGCGGGTTTGCGTTGGACCTTACCACAAATCGGCGGCTGGATAGACAAAGTATCGTCACGGATATGGAAGCAATTCTCTTTGCAGATCTAGACCTGAATGAGTGTATAGAAGGCAAGCAGTACCATGATGTTGCCGGGGGATATCAGAGATTCGACGTCTTCTCGCTGCAGGTTAACCGCCAGAGGCATGAGCCTGCACAGTTTCATGACGAAAAAGACAAAGCGTCGAGCTTGGGCAGCCTTGGGAACGACCACGAGAAAGGTTCCGGTGGGAAAGGAAAGGAAGGATGAGATCGGACAAAGATCCGGTGGAAGCGAAGATTGGTGGATAAATAGCCGGCTGGGGGCTCATGCTACCTCGTTACATACCTCGGGTGTTGTATGGCCATACCCCGACATTCTCCATCTGATGGAGAGCACTTTCTTTCGGGATCAGCCGAGGAATAGGCAAAAGAAGGTTACAGCTTTGCCATTGTAAATGGACCAAGTATGCATTCTTTGTATTAGATCATCTGTTTGCATGTGGCAAAAGATGCCCGAGCTTGATCAACGGGAGAGATCTAGCGATACGAAGCCTTCCACGTGACCACGGCGAGCCTCTCGGCTAGCCGGATATTCAGTTTTTCCGGGTCCGATTCAAAATTTCCATTTCCTGTCTGGCGCATCGAACGAGTTGCAACGAAATTCAGTTCAGTCTCGTCGTTGTCGCCTTGCATTGTCCTGCCAGTATTATTCTTCCATTCCCTCTTTGATTGTGCACTTCTGCCTTTCTGTGGCCTCGTTTCCAACATTCGCGCAGGCTTTTTCTTCTTCTACGTGATCCCCGCCAAACGTTCATGACCTTTCCCGCGGCGACTCCTGAGCCTTTCCAGGGTACCAGCACGAGAGGAGAAAGTACTCTGATTCTACAGCCCCGGGAGACTGGACAAGTTGTTCCAGAGGGCCAGCGTGACTATGCGACTGCGGTAGCAAAAGATGGGCCCAAGGCTAAGCCCTGGGCTCATTTTGTCGCGGGAGGGTATGCGCACAAACCCTGTGTTCCTAATCAAATCTCATGATGTCCTAGTATTGGTGGCATGGCTGCGGCCACTCTCACTTCTCCTCTTGACGTCCTGAAGACCCGACTTCAGTCCGATTTCTATCAAGCTCAACTGAGGGTTCTTCACGCTCAACACCCACTGCCGCACAAACTCACCCTCACCTCCGTGCCCAGAGCAGCGTTCTTCCATATCGCCGAGACTGTACAGATCCTCCGATCGATATACCAACACGAGGGCTTTCGGGCATTGTTTCGAGGTCTCGGAGCAAACTTGATCGGTGTCGTGCCCGCGCGGAGCATCAACTTCTATGTGTACGGGAATGGCAAGAGAATCCTGAATAACTATCTGAACCCTGAAGGGCGTGAAAATGTATGGAGCGTCCATCTCCTTGCGGCAGCTACAGCGGGAATAGCAACGGGTACTGCAACGAATCCTATCTGGGTCGTCAAGACAAGACTACAGCTGGACAAAACCACGGCCAGTCACGATCCTTCAAAGGGACGACAGTACAAGAATAGTTGGGACTGCATCAAGCAGACGGTCCGACATGAGGGCTTTCGAGGCCTGTACCGGGGTCTGTCAGCCTCGTACCTGGGAGTCACCGAGTCTACTCTTCAATGGGTGTTGTATGAGCGGATGAAGCTGTCCCTTGCCCGAAGGGAAGCTAAGCGGCTGTCACTCCCGGGTTACCAACGAACGATGCTCGATGATGCGGAGGAATTTGGAGGGAAGTTTTGTGCCGCGGCCGGTGCGAAGCTCTTCGCGGCAGTCATTACATACCCACACGAAGTAGTCAGGACGAGATTGCGGCAAGCCCCGACCATCACCACGGAGACGGGCAGAGTCACGATGAAATATACCGGCCTGGTGCAGTGCTTCCGTCTCGTGGCCAAAGAAGAAGGGTTGGCCGGGTTGTATGGGGGCATGACGCCGCATTTGCTGCGAGCTGTACCTGCCGCGGCTGTGATGATGTCGACCTACGAGATTTTCTTACGACTCTTCGGGACTACTTCATGATACCGTCGTCGTCACTGCACCTCGGCGTTACTGTACATTTGTATCACTTCTAATGGCCTGTCCTCATGTCAACCATTGCACAATAAGGGGGCGTTCTGGTGTTCCCGCTTGTCCCAACACGGAGTGTGTCACTACGAGCCACCAGGCGCTTGGATCTATTGGGCAGGCAAGGAAATGGAGGGAGATAACTGTCCTGGAGACGAAAGATACACACCTCCAAGCATTGTACGATAGGGGAGAGAGAGGATCTTCTTCTCATTAAGAAAAACTAGACGTTTTGCTTCTCTGCTTGCTAGCTAGAATGAAGGGCCCCGTGTGTAACCCATGCGCAGCATCGGTTCTTGATACATCCGTCCATGGTCCACGTAACATATGGCCGTGGCTCTCTGTGGGGGTGTCGGGACCAGTACTTCGTACATATGAACCCCCTTTCAGACCGTGCCTTGCATTCGACACATCTCCCATCTTTCTTCGCGTTTCATTGACAACGAGAGTTGAGTGTCACCTCTAATGACCCCTGCCTTTACCGAGCTTCCCTGCCAGCTTGGTCACATGCCAGGATGAGTAAAAACCGCCCGCAATCGTCGTACCACAAAGCTTCTAAATCTCCTTTTCTAAATGTCCCGAAATAAAAGGTATATCTGAATGCCGACTGGGCTGGGCGAGAGCGCCATTCCACACTCCCAACTGTACTACCTAAGCCGACGCTTGGCGGCGAGGCTCGCCAGGCGGGAAAAGATGAATAAAACCCGGCCCCGTGCAGCTTTTTTGTCCACTCCACCTTCGTACCCACTCGCTTTTCATCACGTATAGCACCAACGACGACCTGAAATTGTTCCTGCGCTAACCTATTCTTAAAAATTGCTAATCCTGCAGAAGGTGGCATAAGCTATATGAGGTCCAAGACCCCACGAAGCATCTTTACGAACTCATTCCTAGTTGCTATTGCGATACGATTTCCTCTAGCCGCTTCTCTTACATAGCCTCCGTTGAGGTCTCCGACAGCTAATTAGCACCATATACTCCACATGCGGCGGGAGAGTGTGGCTAACGCCACCTCTATAACCGGGCGATGCGACAAACGGCGTTGATAAAAGTGTGAACACCTACAGGGATACGGTTCCCAGGGGTGGGGAGGTCCTGGGGTCGCAGACTTGATCGATACGCTATCCTAGGCCTGAATTTTGTGCCGGGTCTGATCTCCAGGACGTTCCACCCAGGTTATAGGACGCTTGCTGTGGTAGGACCTCTGTCCCTTATACTCTGACCTACAGCTAAGAAGTGCTTGGCTGGGTTTGAATTAACCGAGTCCTGACTGTGATTTCAGGAAAGACCGTACGCTGACAATTGGGCCATTTGTAGGGTATGTATAAGGACTGCTGTGGTGGCGGTTTTTTGGGCCTAAATAAATACCTCCGCCCCATGGACTAGAGCCTCTCCTCTCAGTATGTACACTAAAGTGGAATGGCGTGAAATGGCAGGACCAGCAGAGGTCGGGAGGCCGTTCTACGCGCTCATGGCGCTCTACTCTACCATAGCCGTGCTAAGCAAACCACTGTGGCGCTGCCCAGCGTGTAACAGTGACGCACCTAAATTCCTGAAGGGGATTTTTATCAACGTAGTCCAGCATGAAAAGCCACCATACAGAACTTTATCATAGGTACCCTTCGCGCAGGCGATATATAACTCTCGTGCAGGAAGATTTACCCGGAGCCGTCAGCTGAAATGCCACCCAAGAAGCTACCACCACACACATCGCTGCAGAAGCCGCAAACACCGACGCCACAGCAAAAGCAACAAGCACAGAGTGCTCCTAAACCCAATGCCAACAATGCATCTTCCACTCCTACCAGCAAACCAGCCATCCCAGAGCATGAAGTGAAACAAAGCTCGTCCGTGAGCGCGCAGCTCGCCCTCGAAGCCGCAAAGAAAGCCTACGAACTCCGTCAAGCAGCGTATGCAGCCGGGGATCCACACGCCCGCGAAGAAATCCTTGCCAAAGCCATCAACAAGGAGATCGAGGCCGAATCTTTTGGCAAGGCCGCGAAATATACTCGCTCGGGCGCGTTTCAGGGCCTTGCGGCCGGTGCTGGCCTCGGCATTCAGCCCGGCGTCACTCTGGGGAAATTGACCGGCGCGCTGGTAGGCGGTGTGGTGTCTTCGGCAGGCGCTCTGCTGGGAGGTGGTATTGGATCTGCATACGGAGCGGTCAGCGGTCCATTCTGGGATTTGGGCCAGATGGCAAGCCACGCCAAGTCAGAAGAAGGCGCTGCGGAAGATGGTGTCGGAGGCGCGGCAGACGAGGGCTCCGAACCAAGAAGAATTGGAGGAGAGGCGGGACGACGGCGGAGGTCGAAGTCAGGAGGGTTACCAGCAATGGGCCAAGGATTTGACAAGCTATATCCCGAGTACGGCATCGATGCCTTCAATGCCTTCAGTGCCTTCAGTGCCTTCAATGCCTTCAATGCCGTCAATTACAGGACTTGGGAGACAATCCAAAGGGAGCAACCCTACTCCAGCTGGAACTAAGTCAAAGACCACGACAGCGTCAAATCAGAACCAGCAATCAAAAGCACCAGTAAAGCCTCAGGCGCCTTCAAAGCCTCAACCTGCTCCTCCAGAAACACCTGGTCAGACGCCCAAGTCACAATTCCAATCAAATGGAAATGGAAATGCGCCGAGGAGGAAGCAGAAGAAGCTAGAGATCAGATCGACAAGAACCACTTCACAGTCCAGCCAATCCGTCACTCGAAGAAAGCCACCCAAATTAGAGACGCGATCGAAAACCCCGACAGCAAACGCATGAATTAGCAACACGGACAGCGAGGTTTGTCGGTGTGTACGCAAACAGACGAAACGTGTATACTCGGTCTCTTCGATTGTTACTGGACGAGAGGCTTTGTCTCCCAAGTGCCGTAAGCATTGGTGCTCTGCATTGGTTGGAAATCGAACTACAGCGGAGTCTAGACTGACTCTTTCCGGGACTGCTTCTACGGCATACTGTATTGTAATCTAAGATGGGATACAGCGACGTACTTTTAGCGGTGGAACGGAATCGAAGGGCTGGTGCTACTATCTTTGTGGGAGGACCATCAGCCCAAATCCGACGCAGGGTTTCTGTTCTTGCAGTCCTTCAGTCGTTACAACTGCTTCCTGTAGCCTGCCATGTCCACTCCTTAAGCAACTGTTGTTGATGTTAAGACTCGTCTCAATGCGTAATTGACTCTGTCTTGGACAGCAGGTGCAACCTGGCCTACAAGCTACGCCCCAGCTCGCTACCTCTCGATATCTCTAGTCGCCATCTCACTGAATGCGATCTGGAGGCGATCCACCTCCTCAGCAGTTCTGTCTCACACCCAGAACCCAGTCTCGAACGACTTTGGCTTAATCGACAAACCCTGAGAATTAGCATCGCATTTCAACGAACTTGTCAAGATTGGTCTCTCGACAGGATTTTCGGCTGGTAAGACCCTCTAAGGACATCGACCTGGGGTGCAACTCTTAGAGCGTCGGCTCCGGCCACTACCGTCGTTTGCAACGCTGCGGTTGGGTCTTTCGAGGTGGCATGTGCTGCAGTTTTGCTTTCACCAACCCCGTAATCTCAGGGAGAGTAGAACAGCAGTTAGGTCTCGAGGAGGCAGCTAAATGAAGTATCTCCTGAAATTTTGATGAGATATTGATTGACGAGCATGTGCACTACTTAACCCGATGGACTCACTGTGATGATATGGACTACTCTTGATGTTGTTCACGAATCCCAGGAGAGGAGTCGAAGACTGTCCTCGCTAGACGCTCTCTGCGCTCGAAGCAGCCCGCCCACAGAGTTAATACAGGAAGTAATCTTCCGTCCTCCTCATACACAATGAATCAGATTCGAGTGCCCTGTATACCTCGTTTGTGACCGACCATAGCCAAACAAAAAAAGCCTTTTTCCTCCACAATCGGGACTAAGCCGCTTGGGATAGGCTCTCTGAGGTCATCACGTATTACCTTTGCTATCCTCGTCTTCTCCGGCATCACTGCTGATATTATATCGCACGTGAACCTTCATCCCGAGTCAGAAATCGAAGATCCGGCCTCGTGTCGCCATCCGAGTCCGTAACCGTGGTAAGAATCAACTACTTCCCACATAGCTTACAGCTCTTTGACTTTTCTATCAGTTGCAGTTCATTCACTGGTAAGACTACCATTGTTCAAGGCATCCGCAACTCTGCATATGTCAGGAAGGTGCTGTGCGGTAGTTTAGAAGAGATCACGTACTTTTTCAGCAACCAATAGGCGGTAAGTTCGCGTCAATGTTCCCGTAGCCTCTGCGCCAAAACTGGAGGCAATCACCCCCATCGCTTGCACAGTGATATTTCCGGCTTGGGTACTAAGGAACGAGGGGAGATATTCGGCCGTTCCCGCTACCAGGGTATTCCGACGCGTCTCGTAGAGGTATCATCCGATGGTAGCCTCCTCAAACTGTGCTTGAAAGCGCGGGTCCTTGATGTCCAGGCGATTTGAGTTTCCAGTAGGATCGCGAGAGGCGTAGTAAGGCTAGCACTTGGCGCCGCCGAGGGGGCCGCCTAACCATGCGCAAATGAGAATTCCATCACAAGCGACGCTCGAATTGGCACAGAGGGCGACGGCTCGTTTGGCGTGCTCCTAGTAATGGCTTAGTATGAGATTGGTGGTTTGAGCTAATGTCGGCAAATGCACATACCTCATTGCCTGCCCAAACATGTATTCCTGCTACCACGAAACCCACGAAAGGAACCCGTCCAAAGAATTTAGCTAATGTTCCGTCTCTATCGAAGGCGCCATCATTAACGTCGTGGTAAGTGGAGAAAAGTTACCTAGGTAGTATGTTGTACGAAGGTTGAGCTGTGGACCTGTCTGGTTGATTGTGTTCTGTCCCCCTGGCTATTCGGAGAGACTCTGCCTGTTTATATATATATTGGCCTGTAACAATAAGAGCATTCCTGAAACCTCCTATTCCGTCGCCATCCTATCACAGGTCTGCAGGAACAACGAGGTTGAGGCAGTTTGCGCAGTTGGTGAAGCGCCTAGCGTCTCAGGTGGTTTGCCCCAGTGGTGCTCTCGCAACCCTGTCAACAGAAACAATGCCTGAGATCAAAGCGGAAAACGGGGCAGTTGTTGCGTTCAACTCCAGCGACGTCAGTTTTACCTGATGGTAGCACTGGACAGAGAGAGTGACTGACATGTGGGTGTTCTTAAGTAGCATGGAAAACGGCGCACCACACCGCAGCCTCAGCCAGCTCAGTTCCCGCCCTTCCTTACATTATTACCCACACATTCGCTGGTATCCATGAACGCGCACCAGCGCTGGTTTTCGCCTGAGTTCTTGCCTAATACTAGGAGGCATGCAGGGTCTCTTCCAAAGTGACAAATTCTTGTTGGCGACACGTTGCTGAGGCGATCGTAACAGGTCAGAATGGGTCATCCTGCAACTTTTGTTGAAAATGATGGTGTGGGCAACAGACGTATTGACAAGAATGAATGAAGATATGTTGGCTTCAATGCAATTGTTAATTCTTTGGAGTAATTATCTACCTACCCATAGTTGGTCAGGTTCATCCCCCTACGCGGCAGCATTGACAAAATCCACCTTAAGGGTGTAGGGTAATGTGTTTGAAGTGATGACCCATATCAGCAGCATCGGTGTAAATAAATGTGAGTTCAACACCCGTCTCTCCAGCACTCGTCTCTCCACTATCTCACCTAAATCATCATGATTGTCTCTAAAGAGCAATTCGATGCCGCGAAAGCGGAACTCCTCAAAGAGTCACCAGACCACGTGCTGCTCCTCAAGACGCCTGCTGACGATGCAAGGCCAACGGAAGAGCTGCTTGGCATTGAGAAGGGGAACCTTCCAGACTTCACTTGTCGCTTTGTGAAAGGATCAGAACACTGTTCCCAGTGTAGCCGCCACTACAGCTTCCTCGATTTCGTGAAGGCGGGCCTCCAAACCCATGACCAGGAATTCTTGAGGGACGCCATTTTCGGACGGCATGGAGGCTATATTCGCACGGAAGGGGGCCATTCCTGATTGCTATAATTGTGGCAAAAAGGGCGAAGTCGCGGCGTGGTATGCAGCCCTATTCTATATCTGCGGAGGATGACTTGCGCAACACGGGCAGTCACAGTTACAGATGTGGCGTGGCTGAAGCATGTCAGGAAGCCTTCACTCATTCTTTTATGAAGGTCCGCCGCATTCCTTTTCAGCAATTGACATTTTTGTCTCCACCGTCTTCTGTTTTGATCTAGTGAACCTACTTCAAGGCATGTGATGTACTTGGTAATATTAAGACGCTTGTAGGTACGAGCAAAGTAGGAAGGCACCACATTTTACGATTCGGGTCGACCATCCTTCTGGTAAGGTAAAATTCGAGCTTGGCAACAGACTTCACCAATCCTGCCAGGTATGTCTGGTGGCTTAGAATTTGCCGGTAGGATCTTGGAAATGTAGGCCGTTGGAGTAACGCCTGCTCCCTTAACGTTGAAACTACCCTGGAAGGCTTCTTGGCAGATCACGGAAGAGGATATGCGTCATCCACGACAGAGCCCAGAACTTCCTCGCCAAACCGACGCCCTTCTCGCACTCTCCTGGGGATCTCAAAGCAAGAGTGACCGAACCGCCGTAGCATTCACAATCGTGTATAGAGCGTATGTCGCCTTGGGGCTCAATGGAGGACATAATATATTGTAATAGAGCCTGAGGGCCTGTCCGACTATATACTATCGCGCAATTTACACTGTAGGTATCGACACTAGTCCGAGACCTTCGGCCGAGTACCAGTATTGACGGTCTTTACATCTCTTGGCAGTCCTACCGGTCACATAAAAACCTAGTCAGGGTTCACGTGCAACGTACTGCGTTGGTGCTGCTTTTATCCCCCCTTCTCACCTTCAAACTCATCCACCTCACTCACCCTCGTTCTTGATCTTCGTCCTGAACTCCTCGCTCGACTGACTCTCGACTCTCACCTCCTTTTAATGAAGTTAGAACCAATACTCGATTCCGTTGGAGCATTTGGAGCCTGCATGTCCCAAATCGAATTGGATCCCAGGCTACATGATACCTATTGACTGTGGAGTTACACCATACGCAGCGCCGTTCATCATAGGCGGCACCGGAGGAAGTGGCAACCCCATGGGCAGTGGGCGTGCTAGATAGGTGCGTGGAGGTAGTTTGCTATGACAAATTACAAGTGTGTGCACCTCCCCTTAATACTGTAGCCAGCGATGGAATACTATCACACTTCTTCCTCGGTTAGAGCCTAAATAAATCATGGGGAGCTCCCTCGGAGATACAACAAACATGGCTATATCTGTTACGCAACCATCATGCCACGCCAGGTTCTGAATGAGGGGTGCAACCTGCCATGATTATAAACCCTTCCGGTTCGAAGTTCGAGGATTCAAAACCTCAAGCACGCCCATCACGTCCTCCACATCATCTGTACACTTTGGTCAAGCGCAGTCCCCACGATGACCAATCCGGGACGATTGGTCAGGAGGTGCTGGAGTATTGTCAAGTTGAACGTACTTGGTGTGGGACGGACAACACAAACCCAGTCAGCGGGCTTGAAACGATATTCAGTGGGCCCGTTGGTGGCCGTCTCCGGAGCCGCCGGCCTCTGGTGGTTGATCTCTCACAACACTGCCCTGGCGGAAGCCCCTCACCATCCAGATATCAAACCCCAGACACGCAATCACATCCCCGTCCGCAGCTACGATAAGCGACTCGTCCCGCATACGGCCCCAATAACCCCTACTACACCGATCGCGTACGAGAATAAGACTCACGTGGTGGACCTCTATGGGAAACTGGAACAGGAATCTTTGGATCTAGCCCAACTGCCGGTGGAAGAAGCTGTGCTGACCAGTGCACCGAATGTACCTCCCCCAATCACCCGTAATTATCCCGTGATTCTCAAGGTGAAATTGACAACAACCACCCGGAAAGCCCAATTGACAGGCGCATACAAGTACGAACAGTGGACGTTCAACAATCAGGTTCCGGGACCCTTTATCCGCGCACGCGTAGGCGATGTCGTGGAAGTGGCACTTACCAACGAGGACGAAAGCGGAATGCCACATAACATTGACTGCCATGCTTTTCTGGGGCCCGGAGGTGGGTCGGCAGTGACGACGGCCGAGGAAAACCAGACCAAGACAGCGAGATTCAAGCTCCTATGTCCCGGACTCTTCGTATACCATTGCGCCGCCGCACCGGTGCCTGTCCATATCGCCAATGGAATGTATGGACTGATGTATGTTCAGCCGGCAGAGCGCGATCTTCCGCCTGTGGATAAAGAGTACTATGTGATGCAGAGTGAGTGGTACCATGAGCCGCCCGAGGTGGACGACAACGGCAAAAAATCATCCCAGGTTGAATTTTCGTACCCCAACTCCCTGCGTGAAGAGCCAGATGTCGTCGTCTTTAACGGGAGTGAGTCGGCCATGACCCGAGAAAAGCCACTGAAAGCGAACGTGAACGATACGGTGCGCATCTTCTTTGGGAACGCTGGACCCAATTTGACGAGTGCGTTCCATGTGATCGGGGGCAACTTCAGGCGGGCCTATCGAGACGGCGATGTTGTGAGCCCACCAGGGCAATTTGTCTCGACTTTGAGTGTTCCCCCGGGCGGAGCCACCATTGTGGACATGCATATGCTTGTGCCTGGTACCATGACCTTGGTTGACCATGCCATTTTCCGTCTGGACAAGGGCGGCGTCGGCTACTTGAATGTATCGGGAAAGTCAAGACCTGACGTGTACCAGAGCGTGCAACCTCCTGCGCCGTGTGTCGGGTGCAAGTTGCATGCCTAATAAATCTGTTCTCTTCTACCGCAAGGTCTGGACCTCGAACTAAAATATCATAAGCACACGGCATTGTCGACGGAGCGCACGGTTGAGAGGTTCTTTCGACGACAAAAGGAAGACATGTTCGAAGAGGATGTTGGTTGTGAATCTTCAATGACGAAAATATAAAAATATGCAAGACGTTGTATACACGTTGTAGCTCGACGGTTCGAGCTCTCCAGCAACGACCCCAGCAACATCTTCCAAAGCGTCGTCGGCAACGCGCTCGCTCAACCTGAGTATCTCGGACTACCGGACCTTTCTCCGACGAGAAAACCAATCCGACGAGGGCAGTGCCACGCGGCGGTCCTCTTCCGACTCGGCGGCGCGAGTTTGAAATGCATCGATCACCGCAATGCTTGACAACATTCTGGTCGGGGACGCCAGCGCGCAGTTGATGATCGCCGAGGACTCGGCCGGTGCGCTTTTCTTTTTCCATTCTCTACCTTTCTTTCTCGCGGGCGTCAAGATGCATCTTGCTGGCGTATGTAATTCGCGACCATCTCCTTGAGTTGTTCATTGGCAATCACGAAGGGGTTAGGGCGTCCCAGTTGCTCCTGTACTACGTACCTAGTGCGCGGCTCATAATAACAGGGCCAATAGTTTTTCATAATTAGTACATCAGTATCAAAATCAGAAGGTACCAAGTTAATGACATGGCGATTTTTCTGTATTGCTAGTTTCTACTAGCAATGTCGCCTCGTCACAGCCGATAGTGGTACTCCATATACGCATTTCACGTCTTATCCCGGTCGGCCTTTCTCCCTCTGTCTCTGTCGCTCTAGCTCTCTCATCTCCACTAATTGAATCCTTTCAGCCAGCGCTGCATGCTCTGCTTTCAGACGCGTGATTGTCACTTCCTCACTCCCGTCCATGTCAGTCAGTACTCGCAGCGGGAATTACCGGTATGGACGACTGCGAAGTATCGCCGTGCAAGTTCCGGGACAATGGGTTAGCATGGAGACTGCTGTACTCGGTAGCCTGAGACTTACAAAACTTACAGAACAGAGTGATCCTACCACACTGGCGCACTTCGGAGGAACACAACTCGCCTGATTCTTCAAAGGCGCTCAGTATTAGAGGGATGCAAAGCCCTTTTACGAATTGCCGCTCATGCCTCCAACCAACAATGGGACGGATGCACTGCCCGCGCTATTCTATTGAACGGTTGCTTGATAGGTTAGGCAACTTAGTTGACGACCTGGGGTCTAAAAGCGGGTTGGAAGCAATTGGCGGTCGGTGAGCTGCATATGTACCATCAGGCTGAGGCCAATCTTTCCGCTGGCTAGTCACGGTTCAGTCTCAGAGATATCTCCTACTGCCGATGAAAATCTTTCATTATGAGCCTCAACGCAGTGACCGAAACAGGTTCGAGCCCGACTGATTCCTCGAGCTCACAGCCTGGAGTTCCAGCGACGCAATCCGAGAACCCTGCTTCAGCAGGTACATCTTCTCAAATACCGGATGCCGGACGCAAAAGACGTCGATGGAAACCTGCGAATATCAATGCATGGACCTTCCGTAGCGCCAAACGGCCGCAATTTCCCGAGAGACTCAATTTCACTTCCAGACTCTCCCGTCTTCTGCTTGACAGCTGGTTCTCGAAGATCTCAGCCGTCGGATTTAGCGTTGTCTGTTTGTTACCGCTAATCACTCTCTTAGCTGTTTTCAACCATCGTCAAACTCCATCTTTCACCAGAGGTCTTATTCTGAACACATTCGTGTCTGTTCTGTCAACAGCGTCGAAACCATCATTGTTGTTCGCCGTGGCGGCAATGGTTGGCCAATTGAAATGGCCCTGGCTGCTTCAACAGCGACGCTTGCGAGATATACAGTTGTTTGATGATGCCAGTCGAGCCCCTCAGGATCCATCAAGCTTCTCACCACTCCAGCTGTCTGTTCTCTCGCTTCAGTCGGCGCCATCATCACAATCTTCTCTCTAGCTTTTGAACCTTTTATGCAACACCTCGTGGGCTATCGAGCGAAAGATGTCTACAATGCCTCCCCGGCCATAACCAATCAGGTTTCGAAGGCCAATTTCCTTCCCTCGACCGCTGACTTGAACAATGCCGTCAACCAAGGTATTTGGGCGCTTGTTAGTGCTTTTGGCCGTATTCCCACGTGTCCTTAAGGAAATTGCACGTGGGATCCATTCAGCTCGGTCATATGGCGTAGAAAATGTCAGAATGTCACATCACAAGTCGTCATGCGAGGGTGTGATAATGAAGCCTCACTCTCACACTTTGATTTCCAGACCAAGGCATCACGATGCTACGTTGAGTTTCCTGATGGAAGCCGGATCTTGACTCCTATAACGGCTCGAGTAATGGGGAACAGTGGTCAGAGTACAATATACAACAGGACAGATATTCCTTTCCAGGCGTGGACTATTTCCGTCCAAAATATCACTGTACCCTTTCCAACAAGATACTTAGATATGGACAATCCTTTGCTTGTTATGGGCTTCGTGTCACTCACAGGAAACCCATGGACACCTCTGTCTGTCGACTGGGCACAAGAGTGTGCCCTTACCTTCAGCCTTCGAGATTACAATATATCAGTCACTCGAGGAACGCCAAATATCCAAATTTTAGCAACATACAATCTCGCCCAATTCTCGTACAGGCTTCCAGTAGATCCCGTACTACCGCAGGACTCTTTGCGTGCTGGAGGTAGTTTGATGTTATGAGGCCTCTCTCAATCTTGCCACTACTCAAGGAGATCCTTACGGCTCTTTGGTTGACGGCCACAACTTTGCGTTTTGCTTTCCAGAGTCCGAATCTGCTGTGTATTTCGACATGTTTTCCTCGATAGCGAGAGTGTTGGCGGGCAACCAGACTACTTCTTGGATATACGAGGGCAATGGCGATTCCCATTTCCCAGGACCGCTGGAGACTACGAGGTCAGATTCAACGTCATCGGACGTTGCTGAGCACATGATCTCGTTTCTCAAAGTGCCCGACATATTGGAAGGCGTTTCGGCCAGTCTGGCACATCTCATGCTGCAGCAACTCGGCGAGAAGGTCACTGGCCACCCTGGGCGGCAGGTACTCTATGTTGAGATCAGATGGGTCTGGTTGGTGCTGCCCTTGATGGTAGAGACTGTCGGCATCATATTGCTATTCCTGACGGCGTGGGTAACTCGGGAAAAGAAGACGCCTCTATGGAAGGAATTGTCGCTTGCATTACTTTTTCACGGACTGGACGAGAGGATCTCAAACAAGGACGTGCCAGGACGGCTGCAAGCGGTATGAGAGAGGCAAGCAAAGGCGACCACAGTAAGATTAAAACACACAGAGCAGGGCTACTGCCTTGGAGTGTGAAGTTTGGTCAAGAGTGCTTTAGACGTACTGCCTCTCAGGACCCCTATTTTTCAAACCAACTTCGTACCGTCACAACTTCGATTAACCCTGAATCGGGTAGCAAGAGTCAGTATATGCCTCAGCAAGTCTATAGAGTATCATTCGTATGTAAGCGGCGAGGGAACTGTCTTCTCAATATGTCCCATTGGCTGCATGCTTCTTGTCGTCGGGGTGGATTCCACGCGTGAGGGTAGTCGGTGGGTCCATTAAAATACTACCGCCGTTCCCCTGACTTGGTCCAAGCACCCCACTATGGGGCTGACATGAGGGTGAGCACAAGCGGCATCATTCTTGTCCCAATCTGGGGTGAGCTGTGAGCCATTTTTACTTACTGGGTACTCTAACGGTGCCGCTTTAAACGGCCCCTATTTACGATGTATCTATGGATAGCTTGAATAATACAGCTCACCTTCTTGTCGCCTAGTCCTTACTAGCGGCACGTAAACGTATCCCCCTTCGCTTTCCTTTGCCGGCGGGCACACGTAGTTATGAGCCCCTGGGAATTTACATGGCCAGATGGCATAGGTTCGCATTTACGGGACTGTTGAGAGCAACTTACCTCGCTGTCTTCCGTTAGCATCAACTGCGTCCAAAGTTCAGTTTGTCAGGCTGCCCCAGCTTTGCCGATTTGGAGAATCTATATTCCTGTATTTAACAAAGGTGACTTCCCACGGGCGACTTACTGGCCATGGTAGCCTCATCATCAAGACATCAGTACCTTCTGGAGACTGAGCATCTCCACACCGACGAACCCCCCGTTGTCACAACAACAATCCCTCGCAAAGCGGTTCCACAACGTCAAGCTAATATTCGCGACAGTGATGGGACGGATAAGCCGAAATTAATATCTGAGCCTCCTCCAGAAGCTTCGACTGATCCTCGACGCAAGAGACATGTCCTATCGTTTTGGTGGCTTGAGATCCAGCCGTTTCCATGCTTCTTATCATTGTAGCCATCCTATATCCACGGCACGGTCTTCCCTTGCCACACTGGTCCTACGGTATCTCCGTCAATGCAATCATCGCTGTGGTTGTGGTCGTGTTGAAGATAGCAATACTTCCGGTCACTGCTGAAGGTCTCAGCCACTTGAAGTTCACTTGGTTCAAGTAGCAGCGTCCGTTGTTAGATCTAGAAACATATGACATAGCAAGTCGAGGTCCATGGGGACCTTTATCACTTACTCCTGGTGACACGCCATCGCCATGTTGGTGCGTCCATAGCTGCCGCCGTCACGCTGCTGGCACTGGCAGTTGAGCCATGCACTCGGCGAATCCTGCGGTATCACAGCTGCGGTGTCATCGATCAGACGGACAGTGCTACTTTGCCTCGAGCAATCCTATACGGGGCAATGGGCCAATATATCAGTGCCGACCAATCCACAGTCCGGGTGGACATGCAATCCGCCATCGACGCCGGTGTATATAATGCCAACCCTCCTACTGTACCTGTAACTTGATCTACGGGAAATTGCACCTTTACACGTCCCTATCACACCGCTGGCTTTTGTACTATAATATCACGCATCAACTTATAGTGAGTTCAATTGTAGCCTGTGTCCCTTTTGTCTCTCGCTTTACTGCTCAGCCGTTCCTTCTTGATGTTTCAACTGTCTTTCGGGATCTATTCGAACTAACCCCGAACCCGCAGCTTATTCCTTGTAACATAACCTATAATGGTACATCAAACGACGATTACACGGATACCAATTACCCAGCGCTCAATGCAAGTTTGCCGTCCGGCCTGTCAGCCACTACGGGAGCCTTCGACTCTGGGGTGGGGATTGTGCCAATGAACTCCAACAATGCTTGGCTCATCATGGTAAGAACGCTGTGCGAAGGCTGCACTCTGCCACTTTCACGTAAACTTTCCTGGCTTTGTCTCGTTTTTCGCTTCTATGAAACAACCAGCGAACGGTGATATGTGGCAAGTACATAATATGATCAAATTGCTGACCTCTGCTGTCCTAGGGACAAGACGGCAAACAATCCCAAACCCAACAAGGACCGAGCACGGTGATTGACATGATTTTCACTTCCTCAGATACGAGCTCCTTAGAGAGCCCTGGACTGCCGAGTGCAACCTTTATCCCTGTGTGAAGACCTACACAGCGGAAGTCAAGAACGGTATCCTTACGGAAAATGCCATGGACGAGGACTTCTGGCTCTCGGTATCCTACAATGGTGAGACGAGCGTAGTGGACGTTGATTGCCTTTCATCGCACCAACGTCATGTTCTTATTAGCCAAGGTTACGACATCAACGAAGACACTCATTGGAACGTGACTCCGATATGTCTTGTTGGCCAACCTAACGAATGCCCGGGCACGTTCAACGCATCGAGCACAGTCCCACTGAAATACACCTAGACGATGTATCAGTCCTCGTGGAGTGCGATCAACGAATTTGCGCATACCTTCTTCACCGGCTCGATCACGCCTTACAGCAACGCATTTGACGGTTCCAGAGTGCTTCAAGCCTTTTACAACAACGGCGCCAGAAGCAGCGGCAGTGTGCGGTCTATTTTCGCCAATGTTGCAGAGTCCATGACTACGCATATCCGTCAATCGGGCAACATGATCTTGGGGGCACCAGCTCCCGGAACTGTCTACCGTCAGGACATATGCGCAGCGTTCGCTGTGCGTGGCTAGCCTTCCCGGCATCCCTGGTTCTTATGACAATACTCTTTCTCTGCTTTGTCATGATTGGATCGCGCTACGGAGGAGACCATATTACCCACGACTGGAAATCGTCTCTGTTACCAGTCATGTTTCATGGTCTCGATCAGAGCACCGTTGCCGAGCATCGAAACAGCAGACTCACCCAAACCAAAACAATGCGGCAGGCCGCGAGGAATGTACATGTACAGTTCAGCAATCCAGGTGACGGCTGGCTATTCGCAAAGCGAGATGGCTGAGCCACGGGTACCAGGAGTTCTTGCAAGGCGACAGACTCCGTTCGGGCCATTTCTTGTAAACTCAATCCATCTATGCTTCGCTCGTGCCTCTTCTCTCTCAGAGAGGTCGTCCCCGGCCCTTGGCGTTGACTGAAAGAAAGAATCCGCGATGCAGAAATAAGTAGGATGCCTGAATGCAGTAACACAACTGCCTCTGATGACTACTTTGAGATACAGAAGCCTGTGTTCCCATCCGCTATCCGGCTCGGCACGACCGTCACCTTGCCATGCGCTCCTCGGCCCATTCACAACACGAAGCGTACCTGAGGACTGGTTGCTTCTTTCTCAATTCACAGTTTCCACCCTGTTAATGATATTCCCCCCGCCGCAAAGACAATATGTGCACCGACCCCAAACGCCATCTTTGTTATTCCCTCTAGCTCTTGAGAAAAGCACCCATCAGGTGACTGAATCCTCCACACAACGCCCATAGCGTGTCCAGTGGTTGGCGCAGTGGAGGACGGAAAGGAGCGAAATCGAATATGGCCAGTCGAAGTGGACTGTCATCACCAATGCCAGTTTGAAATCTCGCCTTTGGTGGCATGACTGACCCGAGGGATTGAAATCACCTGGCTTTTCTCGCTCCTGAGCTGGACCGCCGGGAGCCTTCTTCAGTTGTTCTTCAGAACTGGTTTTTTGACCGCCCCGGGCCGCCTCTCGAGTTCGAGATCGACATCCGTCATGAAATTCTCGTGATCGCGAGCAAGGGATTCCACTCTTGTTTATCGCGGCCTGTCTGACTACAGAGCAGTGAAGTCCCTTTCCACGGTCCCAGAAGCCCATCAAAAACCCGTATTGCCGCCCATTAGGGAGGTTGGGCAGTTTTGGATGAAGAGGCTCCATGGTTCCCTGCAGGTAGCGTGGAAGAGCATGCTTCAGGCTACCTTGCGGCCATGGACGCTCGAAGTTCCTCCATTCCACTGGGAGCACCTTTGCAGGATGATGCCGCCATTCCCCAAGACCACAGACCTCAGTTGCATGGGTTTTTGCGGTTCCGGGACAATTCCTGTTGGAGCATTTACCCTTTTGGGCCTCGTAGGACCAGATTTCCCCGAAGCTTTTACACTTTGTGAAGATAGGTAGCCTCCTTCTTTTCTTTCTTGCTTTCTTGTTGCCGATAGGCGACGGCGGCGGTCGAGTGAAGCTCTCTGCAAATGGCTGCTGCTGTTACAGGCTAACTTTATTGTTTTATCCAGTGTTCAACGGCCCTTCACTAAACGCCCAGAGCCAGCGGTGCTGAGTGAGATGCACCATCTCCGCTCGCATGCTCCGCCCATTCATGCGATCGTTCGACGCGGCTACGGTCCACCACCGACACACCATGCCTCTCGGGACCATGCTCCTCGCACGAGCAACGTCTCGTCCCTGGCTAGCTGGCTAGCCTTAATCCTCAACTTCCTACATCAGCCTCACGGTCGTCCTTCGTCCTTGCCACCGCACGCAACGCATGCATCTCTATTCCAGTCCGCCCAGGTCCTCTGTCTTCTCACACCAGATTTACAAAGTCCTATGCCACGCACCTGCACCCGCGCTGTGTGATCATCCTCGCCAGGCTCACCGGCTGGTTGTTGTTGGCGCCGAACTGCTGCTCCTCGTTGTTGGCGTGCCAGCTTGGATTCGTCGCATTCGATCTCAAAATAGTGGTCGGTCGCGAAGTGGACGCCGCATGTACGGCAGTGTTTCCTGGTTGGAGCAGAGGTGCACATTTCCTTCTTATCTCCTTCGACGGAAAATGAAATGTACTGGAGAGCGAGAGGCGGTGCCGTTCGGGATGATCAGGGTAAGCAACAGTCGTGTGGGTGTCTGGGGATCGAGGGAGGTGTGATAGAGAGGGGGGGAGCAGTCATAATCTTGTTTGCTTTCGTTGAGGCCAGGATTGCAGCCGGTCGAATTTCCATACGATGTGTTCGTCGGTTCGAATTTGAAGACCCAGAGCCGTCCTCTTTAAGTTTGGATCGGTGAGTACTAAGAGGGTCTACTCAATCGTCTCAGGCTCCTGGAGGCTTTAGAGTTTTCATAAGCAGTTGATAATCGAACAGATTCTGCTTCATTCCCAAGGACAGAGGGGTGGTTTATATACCAGTCCGTTGACGGTGAAGTAGTGACGGTGACGAAAGACTATTACATCTCGCGCCGTGTGACTGAAGACAATTAATGGAACGAGCATGTGATGGTCGGTTCACCTGCAAGTGAGAAAGACCGGCCATCTCGCTCTCTGTAGGTGATATCTTCGCGAACCCCTGTCTGTGCGATTTCGTTTGCATTCGATGTGAAGCGTAGAACGACAGACACTTTCCGACAGCTCGAAAGCTTGCCGAAGAAGAGAGATCCGGACGGCATCCTGATCGCTCCGTATGCCAGAACTGCATGGAGGACTAAAGAGTTGTATGAGAATAAGCCAACTGTCAATTGGCTCACGGATGACGATAAAAGGAAACAAAAACCATCATTCAGTGTACTGCGACAAGCAAATTGGCGATGTGGATCGATGCTGGAAACGAAGGGCTTGAAATGGAGAACTCCGTGGACTATAAAAGACAGTTATCGTTATTCTCACACTGTATATGGTAAGCTGTACACTCTGGGATCATGCATGTTTGTAACATTATGCAACGGAAGTCCTTCCATCGGGGCCCTTTAGAAGTTCTTGCCGGTGAAAGGGCTCTGAACGGAGCCGAAACTGTAGGACAACTGTCAGCTGATGCGTTCGGATAAGACCTCCTCACCGGTGCTTACCCTTGAGGGCATTGTCTGCCCAGCGCGACGTTCGCGCTTCGCATGTAACAGATCCTCGCTTCCGCACAGGCGGTGCTGGTGCAATTGGGGGTCTTGACGCTCATCTTTCCCTGCAAGGTATTGTGGATGCTCACCAAAGTATGATTTGCAGCCATGGCCTCGGTGACCTTCTGCCAGTATGTTGCGTTCAGAGGCGCATCTTCAGGCCATCCCACTGGGTACGTGTCCCTGGCGGAGTACTCAAACTTCCAGACGGGGCCGGTCTGGGCAGGGTCGAGAGTCTGGAACGCGCTCACATTCGCGTAGTATGTGTAGGCGTTGTAAATGGAGAAATCTCCCGTGTCAACTTCATACATGCGATAGCCGGAGTTCAGGTTGGTCAGAGGCGTCACACTCGGCCCGATCCAGCCAACATTGACGGCGTGGGCAGCATTTTGAGCCGTGCCATTGTTGCTGTAGTAGATGAAGAACTGGTCTTCATGGGTGTGGCCGAAGAACACACCGGCAATCACGTGCGGCGAATATCGGTCAACAATTTGGTAGAAGAGATCTGCAATGACACTTAGAAATCTCGCCACGGAAGCTCTCGTACCTACTTACCTGTCGGGTTGGGAAGAGGATTGGAACCATCCCAGCCTGACAAGACATGCCCAAGAAGCCAGACGCGTTCGCCTTTGCTCTCGGCTTCTTGGAGCTCTTGCGCAACGAATTTGAAAATCCCACTATTGTCTGGATTTGTGGTATTGCTGCCCCAAAGTGAGAACTCCCTTCGGTATGATGGGAAGCAAGGCCTACATATAATTAAACAGGTTGCTTCGGTACCAGAAATCCGTGTTAAAAGTAATGATCCTCAACTTTGGGTACTTTGGATGATTGATACTGTAAGCGCCATAATGCATGCGTGCCTCGTTTGCGGTCTGTGCGTCGATCCAGTTGTTTTGCTGCCACAGCGAGGCAACGTGATTCCAGTTCCATGACCTGGCGCTAAGTCAGAGGAATCCATAAATCGGGTGATCGACCTACTGTTGCTGACCCAGATTTCCTGGCAAGCTGTGCGGAGAATCAATGCCATCTGTATCCCCCTCAGTCATGTCTCTCTTTGCAAGGGGTTTGTTTATTCTTACCAGGGTTGCTATCATGATTCCCAAGCACGGCGAAGATGGGTCCGCTAGGGATGTAAGATTTGATCATGTGGTAAATCGAGAATTCGGCGTATTGGGTGTAGTTATTAGACAGTTCGTTCTGAGATTCATGAGAAACTAGATCGCCCGTGTAGATGCCCCAGGCGAACTGGTCGTTCTCAGTTTGATTATTGAAAGTCGTGCCAGTCAGAGGTCCGATAGATTCCAGCGCGGACGTGAGAAGGAAGTATGGGCTGTCGCACCTGAACGACCCGTACAAGGGCGAGGGTATCTCCAGGTGACCGGAAGCACTTTTGGGGTTGTTGGAACGACAACACAGGCCACTCGAGCAGTTTGCTTCCGAACCGACGTCGTATCTTGGATCGATATGGAAATCGCTCAGATGGACGACTTTGACTCTCTTGCCGCTGGGTTTCGGTACTGTGACATTGCTAGGCTTGGGGCCGAAATACCCCGTTGTATTCGAGGGAAGAGTGAACGGACGAGGACAGAAACTGCCGCTCAAAAAGTTGCAAAGGTACTCGCCGTCCGATCCAGACATGTTCCCCAAGGCGAGAACTTGGGTATAGACAGCTCCGAAGTTTTCGGCATCGTAATTTTCATGACAGCTAGTGTTGGACATGAATCCGCTGCTGATGCACAACTGGACCAGCAAATCTGGAACCATGGCAGGGACCCGCTGGGCCACATATTGGCCAACTTCCAATGCAGAGAGACATTTGGTGCAATTGGTTGCGTTTGTGGCAAGAATGGCATTGACTTGGCTGATGGCATTGGCCACAATAGCACTCCCGTTTGTGACCGAAAAGAGAGGAGTTGGGTAGAAGATAGGGTCTTCACTTTCTTGTGGGATATTCGTCTGGTTTGTCAACTCCAGGGGGAAAGCTGGCCCGTCAGCACCGAAGAGCACATCATATGTTTTCGATCGGACTTACTATAGTTGAGTGCTGGGTCGAAAAGGACGGGTTGGGGCTGAAAAGTGCGTGTCAGCAAAAACCCCCTGGGGATACCCTTGAACAAAAAAGGCTTGCCTCTTGAGTTGGCGAAGGGGGAATATAGTACGAGGGAAATAGACTGGTGGGAAAGCCGGCAGCAACAGTGTATGCCAGGAGTTGGGAACTGGAGCCCTGGGCATGTACACGCTGGCAGGAGAACAGAGGCAGGGCCAATGATAGCCACGAGCAACGACAATGCATGATAGGCAGACTTGGAGGTATATATATGTGTGTGTGTAGCGAATGCTGATCTTGACCGACCGTGGGATTCTAAGCAAGGAAAGAAGGGAAAGTTGCCCAAGGATACTCAACCTTTTTATTGCACAAACGGGCTGGTGTGTGGTACCAACTTGACCGTCGGCAACAGAAGGTCAACTTTGAAGCTCTCGCAAGTTGCTTGCATCTTGACGGAGGATGTCCTCCTGTAGGCCAATGGCATTGACAGTTGAAGGCAGAAGCAGTGAAGCAGGTTGCTGGCGCCCTGCCAAGGACTCACCAATTGTAGAGGCGCTGAGGCTGCACGTGTTAGCCTAGTATGTCGTCTAACGGCTGACTGCCGACCACCAGGCCTGGTCTTGCAGATACCTGCCGATCCCTTCTGCAATTCCAGCAGGTAGCGAGGTAGCAGCCGCCTCTAGATACCAAGCTTGTCGACCGTCTTAGCCACAATCTCTTCATACTGCTGCATTCCCCTCTCTAGTTTTCGAAGCCCAGCCTTCCGCACGTGGTATACCATCCCGGGCGTACCTGCATCAGAATCCGACTCTTCGCTGCTTTCATCCTCCTCCTCTGTCCTCACTGGATTCTCTCGATCCACCACACATCGCATAAAATGCCGATCGTGAGTGATGACAAGAAGAGCACCCAACCATAGTTTGAGGGCTTCGATCAGTGCGTCAATGGTGTCCGCGTCCAGATGGGTCGTTACTTCATCCAGGACGAGCAGATGAGGAGAGTTGCAAAACACCTCCGCCAGTGCCACGCGCACCCGTTGTCCTCCAGATAGAGCTGCAAGTGGAATGTCTGTCACGGTGTTCCCCCGGAGACCTAGTTTGGCCAATGTGCCTCGAGCTGCCTGCTCATCTCCGGTCCAACCCGGGAGTTTCATCAAGTGAGACAAAGCTGTCCTCTGCGGATCTCGCCTTCCGATTGTTTCCAGTTCCTCGACTGCGTGTTGAGAGTAGCAGGCGAATTTGGCCTTTGAATGCACGGTGATCGAGCCTTTCGTTGGTCGTGGATCTTGACCGGTGGCTGCCCCCATCAAGAGCTTGACCAGAGTCGATTTTCCACTCCCATTCAGACCTGCCAGTCCCACCCGTTCACCAGGGTGCATGGCCAGATCAATGTCTTTCAAAGTCCAGACGCCCGACTTGGGATAGGTGTATGATACTCTGTCGAAGTTAAACAGAGGCCCGGTGTGGCGCAGCGGTTCTGGCTGCTCCGGCAGCGTGATTGTTATCGGGGGATCGAACTCTGGGATCTCGATGCCATCGCGATTTGAACTGTGCCATCCCGCAAGGTCGCGGTTGAGCTTGAATCGGCCACCACGTTGGCCAACCTCGAGCCCTGTCCGTTCCTCCAGCTTCTTTCTTCGCGACGCCGCTTGCTTCAGCTTCTTGTCATCTCCCGTCCGTTTGGCAGCCTTGACATTCTTGGCTATGGTCTCTTTCATGTGTTCGGTCTGCCGTTCTTGTGCTTCTGCCATTTTGGTCATTCGTCGAATTTGTCGACGCTTCTCGGATTCGTACTCTGTCAAGTTGCCCTTGAAAACCTCCAATGTTTTGGCGGGAGCTAGCCGAACGAGTAGTACCTCGTCAGCAATTGCATCAGCGAAGTCGCGGTCGTGCGTAACAACGATCACTGTGGTTGCGGCCAATGACTTCGTGATGTATCTTTCGAGCCAAACAATGGCGGGCAGGTCAAGGAAATTCGTGGGCTCGTCAAGCATTAGTACATCTGTCTTCTGTATCAATGCGCATGCAAGGTCACAGCGTGTTTGCCATCCCCCAGACAATGACTTGACAGGTTTCTCGATTTGTTCCTCGGAGAAGCGTAGACCGAGGAGGATCGTACGGGCACGAGCCTCAGTGCTACCGGCATCCATGGCCTCCAATGCCAACCGTGTCGCTTCCAGCATATCGAGGCCGATTCTCGTAGCTTCTGGTTCGTCCTCGGCGCTCTCGGCTTCGTCATAGCTTGCTCGGCGTAAGTAAAAATCGCTGTGCCGACTAAGCGGATGGCATTACCGTTTCTGCGCTTCCTGCACCTCCTTCTCCCTCTCTATGAGCACCTGACGGGCCTTGAGTCCTCGAGCACCACTTCGTCGCGCTGCTATAAGCCGAGCTTCAGCCAACTCTTGTTTTGCCTGCTCAAGTTGAAGCGAGCGAACCGTCGTAACAATCTTGTTGGAGTGGGCTTTGTCCTCTAGTACAGCGGCAAGACCTAGATTATGTTAGAAAGACGACATGTCATCGGTGAGAGAGAACATGCGGTGGGCATCCTGGAGGGCACGCTCTCTGCGTCGGTCACTTCTTGTGACATGTTCAAGAACTTTGAGAGTGTCGCTCTCGGTCTCATCGGATTCTGCCAGTACATCGGAGCTGACCCGTATCTGACCAAGCAAGAGCAAACGCAAATTGCGAGGGACGCCAGGCACTCGTCGTTCCGCTAATGCTCGTAACAGCGAGCTTTTTCCAGTCCCATTCCGCCCCGCTAGAACGTAGTGCACGCCTTCCACAATGCGCAGATGAGCGTGGTCCAACAAGTCTCGCCCTCCCACGGAGAGCGTCAGATCTTTGACATCGATATCCTTTGATGTTGGTGCATCCACAGCATCTACATGGAAACGGCTTTGCTGGCTTGTGACGACAATAGTTCCATCCCGTAACGAGGACGTAGATAGACCTATTTTCGATAGTTTGGGCATGGCAGACCAACGCCGGGAGATAGTGCTTCGGCAGGATTAGGAAAACCTGACGGAAAGCAGAAAATGTCCTTTTCGGAGAGAAGCTGTCGAAAAGTTGTCCTACATTGTTACTCTGGACACTGTTTTATGCGAGGGGAAAGAACTCGAGCTACTTTGGCTGTCTCCGTAGAGGGAAGTGAATTGGGGCCGTGGGTGAAGCTGCAACTCCTTCGACACGGGATTGCGACTTCTCGTGAGTCACCGAGGGCTCGTGTTGCTTGTCTGGATAAGCGCATTGATGTGCTTGATGGTTCCGGCGGACCGGTGCCGTCGTTTGCGAGATCTCAGAAGCTGGAGTGCTTACACAGATGAGTCACATAAGCGTTAGCTACGCACTGTTCTTCATGTGTGTGATTCGGACAGAAGGGAAGAATGCTCAAGGAATGCTCTACGGTCTCGTCGTCGATCTGAGAAAAGACGCGTGACTGTCATTTGAAAAGACGTCGCGCTCGTGACCCGGTGAATCCGCCAATCAGGACATGGACACTCGGTAGCTGCGCAGACTCTTTGATTCTTCCAGCCCCAATGCGAAGGTGAACAATCTTACTCTCGCCAGCCGGTGTCGGGGCCTCTCCCACCTTACAGTCATCAAGTCCTTCGAATTACACACAGATCTGATAGCTGCCACCCACCTGTTCCCCCGCGATGGCGCAGTTCCGCGCAAAGAAGCTCGACCTGGGCTGCTTCATCAACTCCAAAATCATCCGCGACCACACAAAACGGAAGACGTTTGAGCAGTTTGAACCGCAGAGGTACACACCAGCACATGACATACAATCTCTATACACTAACACGGAATTGAATAATCTAGGCAAGCTCTTCGGTACCTCGTCCGTAACACCTCCCTCCCGGACTGGGTACGAACAAAGGCACAATTCGAGTTGAGAAGCATGCACTGCTACACGCGGCCCACACAGATAAAGAACCGGTGTATAATGGGCGGTGTAGCCAGGAGTGTTTTGAGGAAGTTCAGGATGGGCAGGGTAAGTTTCTCGAACGGTCTCTTGAAGCGATGCGACACGAAACCATTTCGCTTCCCTGCATACAAGATGAAAGCGTTGGTTGGGAGATGACCTGAAACTTTATACTAACTACGTTATGCTCCTACAGTTCCAATTCCGGATGAATGCGCTGGAAGGGAATATACCTGGTGTCAAGAAAGCCAGTTGGTGAGCCAGTTGTACAACTATCTTGAAAAGCGTTCTGGATCGCGTGGCATGGGACGGCGTTACAAGTGCTGGAACAGGTGAGGTGGGAACGCGAAAGATCATATATGAACTTGACTGAAGATCGAGATTCAAATTTCCGAGAATAGAACCATTCGTGTCCCGATTCCGTCAAGACGAACTGTGCCTGTGTTTCTGCGCTCGACAAAAAGCAACGCTTGCGAAGATGAGGAAGTCGCTCAAAAATTTCTGAACGCAAAAGGAGACCGCCTTCTAGCCTTGCCAATCACCCTTGTGTCAGCTCTAGTGGTCATTGTCGGCCCTGTTGACCCGAAGAGCTCATCAGCAATTATAGTCTTCACATTATGACACCAGCCTCATCATGGAAGCCCGCCATCCTTGAATTTCTGCAAGTGCCAGTCTATTTGGAGCCCAAGGAACAAGTACGGGAAAGAAAAAGGGACGACTGGTTCGAGCAAAGAGCCTAGAGCCTCCAAGTTCGTGGCGCCACCACGGCTTCGACAATTGCCACCCCATGCCTAGTGGAGATGATGTTTCGGCTCTTCCTCGCCAATGGTCGGGTCCAACTTCAATCTTTCCGTAAACGCAGCAATAGCTTCATCTCTCTGGGCGATGGGTAGACGGTTCAGTGTCGGAGGGAGCTATGATTGCAGCCTCAAAGACATCAAGATCTTCTCTATTGCGCTTGCTCCCATCTGGAGTGGTTGACCGTGCTGGGTCATGAAACACTTTGGATGTATCGTTACTCGTACCCTGTCCTTGGTTCCAACTCTCGTCCCATCCGGTTTTTTGGGGCTTCTCTGCGTTTTCACTTTTCTTCTGCTCCTGGTCGTGATTCAATCGTGCCTTGATTAGCATTGCTACCAGCGCTTCCAGCGTGTACCGTGCATCGTTTCCGCCATTGTGAGGGAAGTAGCATGGAAGGCCTAGATCTCTCATAATAGAAGCAAGGTTACGGTTCTGAGTCTCTTTCTTCAGGACCCGATATAATGGTGCCGTATCCAGTGCATCGATGATTGATGCCAATGTTTTGGCATAGCCCCCTCCATTGGCCGCCATGTCCATAGCGGCAACGGGATATGTGCCACGAGAAGACGTGAAGATTTTGGATCCTAGTGTTCTCAGATATTCGAGATCAGTCCCAACATCATGCCCGACTAAAATGATATTGCGGTCTTTAGGTCCACGCTGTAAAGTTTCTGGGCTTTGTTGATTGGCTTTGGCGAGCGCGACGGCGCGTTTGATGGCTTCCTGATCTCCGATGCCATTCAGGATGCTGGTGACAGCAGCTCGGTTTGCAGCATCTTGTTCGGCATTTTTCGGACCCATATTTACCCCTCCGAGGTTGGGATGAGTTGCTTCGCAGACCTTATCCTCTTCACCTGGGCTGGCTGGCTCAACGCTCCACGGATCAACCAGGCTGGCATGCATATACTCCACAGAGAAGGGCCACTCAAAGCAGCTGTCCACTTTGGTCACGGCTTCTTTGAGGTCGACCCATTCAGACCTGCCAAATTGGAATGCGTTAGGATTTCCGATACAGAAATCTCTGTTAACTAGGTGCTCTCTGCCACTGATTCTGAAATGACGAGAGCGGATACGATCCATCCAATTTTTGCCATTCGGACCTGGAGGGATGTTGACAAGGTCAAGTGTGTCCAGTGTGCTGATCCCAATCTCTGTAATAATGTCGCGGGCTCGTTCATATGCCTCGACATCAATCGCAATCATAACGGTATCTGCCTCAAAAGGAAATGGAGCTGGGGCGTTGAGGTCGAGCGGATCAAGAACAAAATGGCCTGTTTTCAACTGTTGCAGACGGAATTGTTCCTGTTCATCCCACGGCATTTCCAGGTCTGGGTGTTTCATTGGGCCAGTCTTATGACGCAATCCCAGGCATCGCTGAGCTCTTCTCAACTGCGCATACCAATCTCTTACTGCAAATAGACGGTCATCGTGTCCCTTCTTTTTGGCTCGGCCACCTTTGCTCTTCCCTCCTGCAATGGCAGCTCGACACTTGTTCTTGAAGTCCTCGAATTGCTGTCTTACTTCAGGTGGGGCATCGTGTGGACATTCACCGTGGTTGGATAGAGCATTAGGGACACTAATCTGCATTTGCTGTGCTTCCATCTTTGAGCATGACTGGCCCAAAGATTGAGGTTTTGGGGTACCGTCCTCGTAAAACGTGAGGGTAAACGGGAATTTCGGAACCGACACGTGGATTTTGAAGGCCTGCCCGATCTCTGTAATAAGCTGCTGGACTTGCGCATATGGTACGAGGATGATCGGTTTCGCGCCCAAGCTGAATGGAGGATGAAGATAGTGGCTGGATTAATCATTAGCAATGGTCCTGCTGAGAAACAGGCTTAAGATGTTGCCGGGAGATGGGCAGGAAGGGTGGGGAGTCAGACAACTTACAGGTCCCAGGTCCGATTGTAGAATTCGTTGGATGCAAAGAAATGGCGCGAGACACGATCATTGACATCGTTCATATATTTGTATGGGAACTTCGCAGCAAGGCTGAACTGACAGAAATGGCCTGCGACTGGGTTTCCTCCCTTATCTGCCGTCGGTAACTCGTCATTGTCAGAGTCAGAATGCTTCGTCACATCTTTGGGGGGATTTTGTTTGGAGGGTTTGCCATTAGCCAGATACTGAATGGGACCGTTGGCATCATTCGGATATCCAGATGAATTGAGCTCATGCATGACTCTTTGGTTTGGCTGTGCTGTCTTCGTGGCAGGTTTCATGGATGGCTTCTGCTTGAAGGCGGAGACGTAGTCGTCGTCGTCGTCAGAGCTGGTGAGAATGTCAACATCTCTTTCCGGTTGTTGCTTTCGCAGTGGTTTAGTCTCTCTTGGATATTGAGCGGCTTCAGGGATACTCCAGAGCTGTTCCTCTTTCGTCTTTTTCTGTTTGAGCTCTTTTTCCGAGAAATGAGGTTGGCCGGGAGTTGGAGCAGGTGGAAGTGCTTGGTTGGAGAACAATTGGTTTAATCGATCTTGAGGGGTGGTGCCCGTCATGCTGCCTGATCCTCCCTTGAAATTAAAACGCAGAGAATATATGAACCACTGTTAACAACTCCTCAAGAATTGAATCGGTGTGCTGGTAATGCAGGCGGGGAAAGGCTTCGCTGGAGTTGTATTTGCAAGGCAGATTGCTGTACGCTTCAATGATTTTGGAAGGGCCTTGTTCTGTAGCATAAAGCATGAGACACGAAAGAGGACATCAAGCGGACTGAAAGATGGGCATGCTGTGAGAGAAATAAAAGGATAGGGAGATTGAAGAGAGGACTGAAAGACTTGATGAATCAAACCGTGGGAGACAGACGCAAGGCTCTTTTGAGAGTTATGGAAGGGAAGCGTAACAGTGTCACATCAACTTTTATTACGCAACAGAGATCCGTTCTCTGCCTACTCACATCGAATCATTGAATTCCTGAACTGGAGGGAACAAGTGAGGATATGAGGAACAAGGCTGAGAGCAGTGATGAGCAGTGGTTGCATCTTTGTTGCATCCCATACGCCCACGTGACTCACACGTGACTTGTTTTAAGATACTGCCGTTTCTCACCGCCTTCGTCGCGATGGCGATTCAACTTTGACATGCGCGTTCCAACTGCGGCAGGCCTTAGTGGGATGTGCGCAGTACAGTACGCGGCCAAACAACAGAGAAGCCGCGACTGCATCTCTCCCATTCCTCCGAAGACACATGAATGTTCCTCAGGGATGAGGTGACATTGCGACTCCCATCCAAGTTCTCCATCAAGAAGCCAGTCGATCTACTCTTCTGCATCCGTCGCTGTCCCTCCTGACCCAGATTATCTCTCCGATGCGCCGGCTACCATAACGACTCACCTGGCTTCGATGCCGACGATGGCGGAGATCGCAAGCAACCGCGCTGTCGACCCTGATGCGCAGGCTGCTGTGACTGACTTCCTCGACTATACTGAATATCTCCCTTCCGACCTCATTCGATCTTTAACACTCATCCGCGGCCTCGACGACGCCTATCTCAATAATTCTCTAGTCCTCCATGACCTTGCCAAACTCTATGGCTCACTCCCAAGCCTTGAGGCTGCATCCCGTCCGAATGTTCAGGAGCTCCGCGCTCAGATATCCACAAGTTTGGATCGGGCCCTAAACGCTCGGGAATCCGCATATGCAGAGGCCTGCCGTCTGTTTGACGTTGTAGACCGACATCAGAACAGGTTAAAAAGCATTATCGCCAAATTGAATGCCATACCAAAGCCTCCTTCGCGGGATCCAACTCCTCAGCCGACCCCCTCAACGCAAGTCAAGCGCTCACGGAGCGGTCGAAAGATAGAGACTGGTACGTCAACGAGACTAACCCTACATCCCCCCCGTGGCAATGCCGTTGCCTCTGCGATCCTCAAAAGGCCCCGTGGCCGCCGTGTCACTGTGCCGGGAGATGTCATGCCACCGTACGATCCCGATTCGCCCATCGCAAGTACAGAAGTATCGGACTGGGAATCCCCGCCACCTTCACCTCCACGCCCAATTCTCAAGCTCAAACAACCGAAACCTCCTGCGCCGGGAAAGCCTTCGAAACAAAGGCCTCCGCCAGTCGACGAAAAGACTCGCGAATCGCGAGAGGCAACTGAGCCATATCACAAACCGACTCCTCCACCAGAGGACGCAGAGATCGGAAGCAAGTGGAGACCATGGACGCACTTGA